ATCTTATTATCTCTCTTTTGAGACAAAATTTTTATCTAATTTTAGAAAATATATTTTAAGTCTTTTTTAAATGTATGTAGAATTCTAGTTATATATTCGTAATTTATACATTCATCTATTATATTGTCGAGCCAACTATACTACTACATAAAATTTTTGTTCATAAAAAGATTTTGAAAAATGTATTATTTTTTTATGATTTTCTTATGTCGAATTGAGAAAAAATATGTTTTTTTTTAATATTATTGAACTTATTGTGATTGTATTGATGTGTTAAATAAAGTAATACCTTTGAGAAAGTTGACAAATTATGAAAAGTATACTTTATAAATTATAATGACATTATGTTGTTTTGCTGCAATACTTTTTGTATTAATTAGATAGTGCTCTTAACATGAAATTATTTTGGATTTGCCACTGCAACTAGTTTTTCATTGGAACTTTAATTGTTTTTCCCAATTTCAATGACAATTTTTTTAATGGTCGAAATATGGCCGAAAAAGAAATCCAACGTAAATTCACACAAAAATAAATATTAGTAATTGAGATATTAAATCCACAAAAATTTCAATGTAATTTAATTTACTCACCATTGGAATAGCCAGTGAATCTTTTCAATAGAAGTTATACCAATGAAATATCTGTTGGTATTTTCTGTGGAATACCTAAACAACATCGATTTTAAATATTTTACTAATATTTATTAATAAACTTGTAAAATTAAATAAATATTGTTGAAACAGTTATCTTATTTGATAGGATACTTACGGTTAAATAAACTCTTAAATTTTATTGAGAAAATCATAAAAGTATTTAAGAATCTTGAATAATATCAATAAATAAAATATTTTATTTAAAAAATTTTGAATTATAATCGTTTATAGAACGCTCAACTTGATAATTAATTGTTCAAATAAAATAAGAATAATAATAATTAAAAAGTCACGAACATTTTTATTAATAATTGAATGAAAAATTTCAAATATTTTAAGTCTTAATAATTAAAAAATTACGCAACTTGATTTTAATCACCTAATGGTCACGTGAAGATTCGTTAACTCTATTAGCTTTGCGACCAAAATTTGAAAATACAAACCACTAAACAATGACGATTTTTGTGGGATCAAAATTATATCCAATAAAACTAAGGTGCAATCTAATTCTAGTTCTAAATACAAGAGTTTATTTTTTTTAAATAATGACCTAGTTAAATGAATTCTTCCATTATTCCAGTTTGTTAGATTATGTATATATTTCACGTGTGCATGATTTCGGTAATATAATAGGTATCTTCTCTTAATTAAAGTTATGTATGTATCTTGAAAATTATTTACTATATAAAATTTATCCCTCAACTAAATTATCATGTTTTACCAAGATTTATCGTTTTGTTAAAAGATAGGTAAACAAATAGTTGAGAATATTTAGATCTTTTAGAAGTATTTATTATGTTGTTTGTTGCATAATTTTTTGTTTAAATAAATTTTATATATTAAAATCATTAAATATGATTACGATTTTATCATCAAAAGTATATTAAAAATAAGTACGTTATTCAAAACAAAAATTCAATATCATTTCAAAACTTTGTTGTTTGGGTTACTGTTGAGTTGATTTTTTAGAGATATGGAAGAAAACAGTTTGGGAGATATGTGGAAGAAACCAATTTTTTTAAGAATAATGGTGTGAATATTGTGGATGATTTTTAAGAGATGTGGAATGTTTTGTTCATTTAATTGTATTAAATGAATAAAATATTAAATGAATATTAGTGTATTACTAATTTGACATTAAAAATATGTCAAATAAAAGGCTTTTTAGGTAAATATTAGTTATTAAAAAAAAAATATAAGATGGGATATATATTATGTTATTACTAATTTGCCATTTAAAATATATCAAAGTAAGGGTATATTAGTTAGTTCTTTCTTTTACAAAAATACTCGTCCTTTTTTAGTAGTATTCCGAGTTACCATTTTAGTTAGCACAACATTTAGACATAGAATATAATAAAACATTTGGACTAAATATTGTATAAGATAATTTTGTAGATATATTGTTTACAAGAACCAATTTGTTTTGGTGAACTTCTGTGGAAGAGTTATTTTTTTTTTCAACAGCTACTTAGCTAAGAGATCATAACAATTTCTTCAAAGACCACCTCAATCTCCATCACTTTTAGTAAAATTTAGAATTATTTGAGTCATACTTTGGGCGTGGATCATAATAGTCTTCAATGTTACGCTGTTATTTATTTAATTAAATATTAGTGATTAACTAAAAAATATAAGATTTGAAGAGTACTAGTGTATTAATAATTTGACATTAAAATTAAGTCAAAGTAAGAGTTTTTTAGGTAGTTCATTTGTTAATTAAAAATATAAAATAAGACGGGTATTACTGAATTACTAATTTTCCATTAAATATATGTCAAAGTAAGAGTTTTTTTAGGCAGATCATCATTCTTATAAAATCACTCGTCCTTTTATAATAGTATAGATTTAACTTCCCAAACGCCTTTCAATGTTTTTTCTTTTTTTCTTTTGGTTTTAAATTAATTATTTATTCAATCTTTATATCACACTTCCCAATATGATAAATTTAAATTTTATCTATATCACAATAAAAAAATTAATTTAAATTTAAATTAATTTATATCACACTTCCCAATATGATAAACTTAAATTTTATCTATATCACAATAAAAAAATTATTTTTTTTAATTCTACTATTTTTTTTTCTTGTGTAATTTTAATTTAAATGATTTTGTGGTCACCCTGCTGGTAAGTTTTCAATTTTTTGTTTGAGTTTTTTTAAAATAATATATTTTTCATAATATTTAAAAATAAAAAGTAATATAATATTAATAATATATATTTTTAATATTTTTCAATAATATATTTTTAAAAGTAATATATTTTTAATATATAAAAAATAATATATTTCTAATAATATATAGAAATAACATAATATATTTTTAAATTATATATAAATGCTTTTTTTAGTTTTATTTTTATATAAGTATTTAATATACATATTAAAAAATAAATAAAAGTAAGTTTTCAATTTTTTTATTTGAATTTTTTTTAAAATAATTTTATTTAGTATATTTGAATCATGATTTATAATATATAATATATAGTTATTTTTTATTATTATTTATTAATTTTATTTTTTGAAAAATTAATTCCTACACACATGAGAATAAGAAAATCTTGCATTTACTATGGAATAGCTAATCCCATGGAGATGGGTTTTGCCATTCTCATTGGAATGGTTATTCCTTCCCAAAAAATATACCAATCATGGCATAAAGAATGGGTAAGAGAATCATTACATTCTCATGTCATTCTTTTCTACCAATCATGCCGTCAGTTATTGCGTCAATGTGAACTTGTTGTGTAGTTGGTGAGCCTGTGAGCAGATATCTATTACTATATAATACGGAGAAGGAAAAATGTTTTGAATAATGTTTGAATAAATATTTCATTTCCCGCTTAAACATCATTTTTTCCCTCTCAAATTTTTCGAAAATTACCTGTTTTGGAAACTCTTTTTGAATTTTTTTCATTTATCCCGCCTAACTTAATTTGATTTTGGATGTGATTTATGGAAATCGGATTGTTTTATTTTAGGATAAGATTTGGTTGTTTTTTTGTTAAATTTGTTATAATTCCTTTTCTTTAGGATGAGATGAGATTTGTTACCATTTTTTTAAAATCCGATTTGGTACATTTTTAATTCACTCGCTTTTCCTTTTTTTTTTTTCACGTTTTATTTCACTCGATTTTCCTTTTTTTTTATGGGTTGAGATTTGGTAAATTTTGTATTTTTAATTTTTTTAATTTTAATTCACGTTTTTAATTTTAATTTCACGTTTTGAATTTTTTCCTTTTAATTTTTTTTAATCCGATTTTTTTTTTCAAACATTCGGTAAAGTTTTTTTTATTTTTTTTTTTCATAATCCCGCCTACATTTCAATTGTAATTTATTTGGACGTATATCATAATCCTTTTTTTTTTTAAATCGATTTGGTAGGAATCGGATATTTCCTTTTTTTTTTGGAAGGGAGTTGATATAAATCGAATAACATCAATTTAAGTTAATTAATTATGAAATTTCATTTCCTTTTTTTTTTTAAATCTGATTTATATTATATAGATAGATTTCACTTCCTTTTTTTGTAAGCGATTACCTTTTTTTTTGGTAAGCGATTGTTTCAATGAAACGTGCACTAAGATCGGGTTGACCGAATTAAACAATTTTGAATAATATTAAATTAATCGATTACTATTAAATTAATTTTATTTGATTTTCACGTCTAAAATTTTCCAAAATACTATTTTTATTCTTGTGGAAAATGGCGGTTGGATGAAAAAGTCAAATTCAAATTAAAAAAAATTGTTATTTTGAAAAAGATATTTTGTAAACCCTAATTCATAAAAATATGGTCAATGATAACTTTAAATACAACGGGTAAATATGGTCAATGATATCATAAATTATATTTTATATTCGATAAGTTCAACTTAATTGATGATTTTGTTTGTTAATATTTGCTTAACTACAAAATATTTTAAAGTTTATAAAGAATCTCATTTTATATAGGTTCTTGGTACTTTTTTATTTGTACATATTCATTTTTCATCCCATATCCAAATACAAATTTAAATGCGGATCTTACATGTTTATTAGAAATATATGTATATTTTTTCAAAAAGTATGACGATCATATAATTAATTTTATCATATATCATATGTTGGATGTATTAGTTTGGTTGGGACACTCATTATATTCAAATAAATAATATATAATTTTTCATATTTAGTATTTCTTTTTTTATAATAATAAGATGTTAAACATAAATAACTATGTATAATATAAAGTTTTAGAAAATGTTTTAAGTAAAAATCCCTCCGTGGCAGCGCACGGGATACACACTAGTTTTATCAGAAAGCATACGAAAAAATATCTTTTTCAGCCTAAAACAACCAACCAAATTCCCCGCGTGCTTTTATACAAACTTCAATTCTGTTCAGTGTTCAGAAAAAACAATCGACACTCATTACACACACTAGAAAATGAGTGTAACAGTGTATGGCTGAGCTACTTCTGAACAATAATTCATTATTTGCGGCAGAATAAAAAAAAATGAAGGCTTCAGCTTTACGAATTTCACATTCAAGCCCGATTTCCAGCATCTCACATTTAACCAATTTCAATCGTAATTTGATCTGGAAATGGAAATCTCCATTCAAGAATTCACTGCCGTTCGCACATTCTTCACGCAGGTGCTTCTTGGTAATGAATGTGGCTAGCGAGAAACCAACCAAGGTTGCTCCTGTTGAAGAAGAACAAGGTTTAAAACTATATATTTTTTAACCGACATTTAACCCTTTTGGCTGTTGTGCGTCTGTGTGTGTGTTCTGTTTCTGTTGTTTGTACTGGAATGAATCTCTATTACTCCGTAAAAGATAGGTTTTTTCCTGTTTTTCTGCAAGAACATTTCCAAAAACTGTCCCGTGAGTAGGCTAAACCTGCTGGTGATTTATCATTGATTTGAGTTTTATGTAATTAGGCTAAACCTCATGGTGACTTATTGAGACAATCCCTTTGCAGCAGAAAAAAGAAATAGTTTACCCATCATTGATGTACTAATTACGGCTCAAACGAATGGCTGAGCCAATAATATTGTAAAACTGAATGCAGAGTGATTATTTGATCTATCTAGGTTTAATACAATAACTAATGTACTGTAGTACCTTTTTGTTGTAGGAGTTGAGTTAGATGCTCTTAAGCCTGATTCTTCATCAGTTGCATCGAGCATCAAATATCATGCAAAAGCGTATTACGCAACTGCAGAGAGTGTTCGTGATATGCTCATTACAAATTGGAACGCGACTTATGACTATTATGAAAAGATGAACGTGAAGCAGGCATATTATTTGTCCATGGAATTTCTTCAGGTTGATGGTTTTATTCATCTTCAAATAAACATATGCATTGATATTGCGAACTTATTTTTTCATTATATTCTGTGATTCGTGTGGGCAGGGCCGGGCATTGTTAAATGCAATTGGTAATTTGGAACTGACAGGTGAGTATGAAGAGGCACTGAGAAAGCTGGGGCACAATTTAGAAGGTGTTGCCAGTCAGGTAAAATTTTATCTGATTATTTACACGTTCATTGTTAATATCTATCAGATAAAAGTATGAAGGTGATGTGGCATTGTGTCCAAGATTCATTTTCTCACGATGTCGTCTTTTGAAATGTCAACTTCCTTTCACATTCTGTCTAATGAGAATCTATGATATTGGTTATTTTGATTTCTGATTCTGCATTTTTTTGGAGTTTTTACAACCCAATGAGCATATTTTTTCCTTTTTCAATAATTATCTTGGTGTAATCATCATAGGGTCGTTAAGTACATTTTGACTTGTACATGGTCCTTCATTTCTCTAAAAAATAGTATTATTATTATTATTATTATTATTATTATTATTATTATTATTATTATTATTATTATTATTATTATTATGATGATGATGATGATGATGATGATGCAGGAACCTGATGCAGCTTTAGGAAATGGAGGATTAGGACGGCTGGCTTCTTGCTTTCTCGACTCCATGGCAACACTGAACTACCCAGCTTGGGGCTATGGACTGAGATACAGATATGGTCTATTCAAGCAGCTCATCACAAAAGATGGTCAAGAAGAAGTTGCTGAAAATTGGCTGGAGGTAATGTTTTTCTCTGTTCTTGGTTATTCCTTTCTGAGTGGCTAGCTAGCACATAAAAATAGTGGAGATAACTGCAATTTGTAGTCCCAATATTGACAAACTCTTAGCAGTGACATTTGAGTTCCAAGGTTGAAAGAAAGAACCTTCTGGTTGGACCGTCAGTGTTAGAAACTCAATCTCTTGGACTAACATGTGCAGCTTGCTCGAAATTAGAGTATGCAATCAATATTGTCTCATTCTTTTTTATTTTTTTTACTGAAACCAGATGGGCAATCCATGGGAAATAGTTCGAAATGATATCTCATATCCTGTAAAATTTTACGGAGAAGTCGTTGAAGGTCCTGATGGAAAGAAAGAATGGATTGGAGGTGAAGATATTATTGCGGTTGCCTATGATGTCCCAATACCAGGATACAGAACTAAAACCACCATCAACCTTCGGCTGTGGTCGACCAAAGTTGCAGCCGAAGTTTTTGATTTAAAAGCTTTTAATTCTGGGCAGCATGCAAAAGCATATGAAGCCATGAAACAGGCTGAAAAGGTATGCATCCTTGTTGTCTTCATTCCTCTCTATCTCTCTCTGCTTTTGGTTTTCCTGGTATGAGCTTATTCTGTATAGTTTTGGAACTTCAAAGCAGGAATCTGGGTGCTTCAGATTTCTGATCTTACTTTTGGTTTAACTTTTAGACATGAACAAATAATCCACCAATACTCATTCTTTTTACCCATTCAACAACTTATTCTATAAGCAAACAGCATGGACTTTTGATGAGTTTTCTAAAATATACTTGTCTGTTTCGGGGCTTAACTAAGATCATTAGCTATTTTAGCTGTTGTTTGATTTACTTTTATTCTTTCTCTTTATTTTTGGATCAGATTTGCTATGTTTTATACCCAGGGGACGAATCAAATGAAGGAAAGACACTTAGACTTAAGCAACAATACATATTATGCTCGGCTTCTCTTCAGGACATCATAGAAAGATTTGAAAGACGGTCAGGAAAGTCATTAAACTGGCAAAAATTCCCAGAAAAAGTCGCTGTACAAATGAATGATACTCATCCGACTCTTTGTATACCTGAATTGATAAGAATATTAATAGATGTGAAGGGTCTGAGCTGGAAAGAAGCATGGGGTATTACTCAAAGGTACTTAGATATTTTCAAGGAACTTCCGTTGGAAGCCTTTTAATTGCATTGTTGTTCCCTAAAATAGCTCTTTCATGCTTCATTAGAACTGTGGCATACACCAACCACACAGTTCTACCTGAGGCTCTTGAGAAATGGAGTATGAATCTTCTCCAAGAACTTCTGCCAAGGCATGTTGAGATCATAAAAATGATCGATGAAGAGGTATTGATTTATTGCTTGTAAGTTATGAATTGAACGAACCATATTTTAATGTTAATGTGCTAGTTGGAAAGTGTATCCGGGCAATGCTGGCTAACAAATTAAAAGAAGTGATTCCATTATGTGGAAAAAGAAAGGTTAATTTTTTCCTTTTCATGTCACCCAACTTCTGCATGTAAGTATCTAATATTTTAATCTGAAAGAAAGGTGAATGCTGCTTTGACTTAATGATTTTGCCTCTGATTGACCTTCACAAATAAAAATACATTTGCATCTTATTATTAAACATTATGATACTTTCACCTTTTAGCTACTAGTTGCAAACACTACCAAATATGGTACAAGAAGTTACTTCTTCTGGAAGTGGAAATTCTTACAAGCGCTCACATTCATTCTTCGTCTTAAAAAATGTTTCTTTTTTTTTTCTTTTTTTTTTTTCCTTTTTGGTTTCAGCTAATCAATACTATTATTGAAGAATATGGTTCGGAGGACCTGGAGTTGCTGAGGGAGAAAGTGAAGCAGATGAGAATTTTGGATAACGTCGAACTACCTTCAGCTGTAATAGATTTTCTTGTTAAGTCCCAAGAAAATCTTCTCAACAATTCTGTCGAAGAAGAAAAAAAAGAAGAAGATGAAAAAGATTCTGAAACTGAGAAAAAGATAGAACCTACAGACAAAGTAAAGAATTCTAATGGTGATGATGTTAAGGAAACTAAAGTACCAAAGGTAGAGGATGCCAAAATGAACGTTAAGTTGGTGTTTCAACCTGATCTGAAACAGCCGAAATTGGTCCGCATGGCTAATTTATGTGTTGTAGGAGGACATGCTGTCAATGGAGTTGCACAAATTCATAGCGATATCGTTAAGAAAGAAGTTTTCAATGAATTTTACAAGGTAACATATATGATGGACTCCTGCTTCAAAATTTTTTTTTTCAAGGTTCTGTTATGGAAAAAAAAAACAACTTCACCATGACTAGAACACCCTGAAGGCCTGAACATAAGGTATTTGTAATAACTTCATTTTCTTTGCCAGAACCATGAGATTAATTAACTTGACTTGCATTTGTGTTGCTCACTTATAGTTGTGGCCCGAGAAGTTTCAGAACAAAACAAACGGTGTGACGCCTAGAAGATGGATCGGATTCTGTAATCCAGAACTCAGTAAAATCATAACCAAGTGGACAGGATCAGTAGACTGGTTGATAAATACTGAGAAGTTAGCAGAATTACGAAAGGTAAACATTCATAATTGTATGGTTGATCGAGTCAAAAATATTCTCATGTTATTTACCAGCAAAGCAGTTGCAATA